GGGAGCCAGGACCTCCCAAGTTCTAATTCCCAGTCTACCACTGGCACTTTCCCTCTCAGTGCCCGTGGGGATAACATACCACTTGCTACATCACAGGAATAGGACAATTAACTAGTGTTTACAAAGCACTGTGAGATCCGATGACAGATATTACATAATGCAGAGAATTTATTAGACTACTGACAAGTGTAACTATTTCTGAAAACATTGCAAATACACAGCCCAATCATGAAAGATTTTGAGTATCTCCCCAAGAGGTTCCAAGCACCTTCAGCTCACTTAAGCTACAATGGGAGTTGATGCTCAGTACCTTTTTAGAATGCTCAGCAACTCACAAGATTAGGCCCTTCATTTTCTATTTATGCACTGCCGACCTAAATACATTTTTAAACATATCCAAGGTTATAATAATTTCTGAAACTTTCAGGGGATGATTCTCTAACGTGGAAAGTGCCTCCTGCAAAGGTCTGATTGACTTCTTTCATGGAAATCAATGGGAGAAGAGGCTTCTCTTCACTTTGCAGAGGCACTTAGCACCTAGCATAAATTAGCAAGATCTTTACTAGGATCAAGATTTGGCCCTTATAGGTTTTGATCCACATAGACAAACCCCTGTACCTGCAAGAGTCAAGTTCAAGTCAGTGGGCTTGAAGCAGTTGCAAGTGTACATCTGCACAAAGCAGCTTGCCAGATCAGGACCTTGGACTGTAAGTTTTTGGGGCCATAGACCCAGCCTTCTTACCTGTCTATGAAGCATATACCACATCTCTGACATTATACAAATATATAATATACAGATATCAAGGTTTCATTTCAAGAATATATTATAAATAATCAAAGTAACATTTTAAATCATATTTGAAGGCTCATATTTACAGAGAATATTCACCAAATAGGTATGAATCTGAATAATCCTCAAATGACCTTGCTTTTTTAAACACATACATACTTTACACATTGTATCTTTCTCCAGAAAGTTCTCTCTGAAAAAGAATGCAGGAGGGTATTTTGCTTTTGTCTGCTAAAAATAAGCATCAAACTACTACAGTTTTAATTGATCAGAAGTAAAATCAACTAGCATTGGTCTAGACAAGTAGTATTAATTCTGAGCCATTGCTGATTCCAATTAGTTACTGACCCAGAAAATATTGTGGGTTATTATGAAGAAACCTTTCTAGTTCATTAACCCAGTAGAATATATTTACATATTTTTATCCATAATGAAATTTGAGTATTATATGAAGCTATATCCAACAGTTTATCTGTAAATTATTTATAGTTTTGCAAGTTATGGAAGTAATAGCAACCAGACCTTATGCATTAGGACACAAAACTGATTGCCTAGAAGGATCAGCAAGGAATCATCCACACACATTCTACATACAGGGATGCATAAATGGCTAAATATATCATGAGTTGGAGAACCAGGATTTGGAGGAAGAAGGAGAATTCTTCCCTCCAAGACTGTCACTGCCAGAAGCTGAATGCCAGAGTAGATGAACTAGTGCTCTGTTCCAATCTAGCAAATCCTACTTAGCGTATACTGTTACTAAATGTGTGCTATAAGAGAATTTCATCTGAATTTGCTCCACTTAAAATTCATGTCCTCTACCATCTCTACGTCATTTAACAAAAGGTACAGAATACCACCTCTTCTGGACAGTGTCATATATACTATTCAGATTTTGAAGATTTAAGTATTTTAGAATGTCTGTTGTAACATTTGCATCCAGTACGCTGCTGGTGTAGTTTTTATTTTGACTGGTTGCAATTTATTCTTGATATATTTTTTTATAATGCATTATTGGCTTTTACAGAATATTTTGCAGTAAATGCATTTGCCAAGATGAGAATGGTGTAATAAAAAGAAAGAAAATAACTGACACCAACCAGTGGTTGTGGACTAAATATGTCAAGCGAGCGTAGTCCAATTTACATTAATTGTACAGGCATCTATGTTTAATAACATATGAAATGAAAGAGGTTCCTAAACCTGGGTGGTAATATTGCATTCCCACTAGTCTAAAATAAGCTTCAATAAAAAAAGTAAAATGTTACAAATTATTAGGTCCTTCTGGTATTCTGAAAGTGTTGCAAAATGTTAGAAAATGTTAAAGTCTATTCTCGCTTCAGCAGACATCTACTTAACTTCCGTATACATCAGAGAAGTTACTGGTGCATATCAAGTGAGATTAGAAGAAGACCACTTGTACTCAGAATCTCTTCTCATCATATTTTAATATAATGTTAATATTTTACATAGCCATATTAAAGACTGGCATTCTTTTTGTCAGCCATGCAGTGCTGACAGTGCGGGGCTGACAGCGGGAGCCCTGGCCTTCAGCCTCCCGGGGCTGACAGTGGGAGCCCAGGGTCCTGCTGTCAGCCCCGTGCAGCTGACGGCCAGAGTCCCGGGCAGCTGACAGCCAGAGTCCCGGACATTAATGACTGTAATATAGTTGCAGCAAAATGTCTGGTTATCAAAAAAATTAGCAGGCATAATATAATACTTGAGTGTTTATATTGTTCCAGCAAATTTTTCTTAAACAAATAGGTCTTCTCTGGGTTTCCAAATAAACACAATTAATAAAAGGTCCACTATTACTTTTCCACAATTTTTCATGTCTTGTCCGCAACTCAGCTCCAATTATTTGACAATCATCTCACGATTCAGGTATGGCCTAACATATATATTCATACCAAAAATTCGGCCTCTCTTTAAAAAACAAAACACAAGAATGTCTGGAAATGAATAGTGAAGAGACCCAACCAATTCTCCACAGACATATAATCCTCATCACTCTTAATCAACCAACCTTAACTTGCCACCCTAAAATTTGCAAAAATATATGCCAGGGTCAAAACAACAAGTTACAATTACACCCCACGACGTTCCTGTAACCCTCTCATGCCTCCTCCTGCACACATGCCCTGTGCTTTCCCTGTCCTTTGCAACTTTCATGCACTTGAGGAGCCCTACTCTCTGCTTTATGAATGCCACCATCCTGCCTACCACTCCATGCACTCACATCCTCACCACTACCCCTTCCATTCAAAAACAAGAGAAACATGGCATCACGCTACCTCACCAGGTACCTCTCAGTCCTCAGACCTACCATCATCCTCTGTTTACTCTTCATGCTCTCCATATCTCTTCCCAGACTCCTAACTCACCACAATTCCCCCCCATGCTCCCACTTCAATCCATGCCCCCCTATGTACCCGTTTGTCCAGGTCAATCCAGCAAAACCAGAAACAAAAAGTCAGTTAATTATAAATTGTGTATATTAAATACATTTTTCATATTATTAGTTTGAACAGTGCTCTTTATCGCCCCCTATAAGACTAAGAGGAACTTGTCTTCAGCAAAGCCAACAAAGTGCAACCCCAGTTCTGCATGAGTCTCCACAGGAGCACAGAGTCCACCCAAGCAGACTCATTTGCAGGTTCAGGCCCAATTTCAGAAATTCTAAGTTCTTTTGAGACAAGAGACAAAAAAAATCATTAGGAAATTTTTCAAATCTGAAGGACAGGTGTTTGCAATTCTAAACACCATAACTTTATAACTGCTCAGTTTTTAATTTTTTAAAAATTAAAAAAACAATTTCTCAGATAAAATCTACCAGGGTTGAGATGCAGGATGTAAAGATTCAGGAAGATTAGCGGGAAAAGCAAAGTGTACTAAAAATCAGGCTTATATTGGGAAGGTAGCTTAACCATGGTTATTACCGCTCCATAAATAAGGATTAACACTATAATTCATACAACTCAAAAAGGAGAAGGATACAAAACAAGGCCTTGATGTTGCAAAAGCTTATCCATCTAATTAACCTTCTGCATATTTAACTCAATGTGACTACTCACATGCTTAAAATTAAGCATGTGCTTTTTTGCAGGGTCAGTGACTGGACCTCTGATCTTTGTAAATTGTTCCACGAGAAAAGACACCTGTGCAAAACCCCAGTGACTTCAAAGGAGCCCCCCATCTGCATCATGTGCCTTCTAGGATGGGGGCCTCTCAAAAATAAATGAAAAGGAAATTCAAAAACACCAGTGGGAAGAGGGGTGAAAGAAGTAACATTAGGTCCAATTTTATCTGACAAAAAGCATGAAATTTACAGTCGAAACTGAAATCACGTGCTTAGGTTATCACAGCTTTGTGCATGGGTATCACGGCTTCTGAGGTCCAGAAGGAGCCCCTCTGTTCTGAGGTCCCCAATACAATATGTAATCCAAGACATAGGCACACAGGACTGACTGAGAGGGACCCTGAGCTTTAACTTTGATCTCCATGAAGATCAGACGCCTAACAATCTCACACACAGGTTTTGTTATATTTTTTGCTTGTCTTTTGAGGAATGGTTGGGGAAACACTAAAAACACCAGCATGTGATTAGATCACATGCCCAGAAACCTTCAGAGGGCTGCGGCAGATTTATGTCAAGTTAGTCTTCTTGGGAGTTTTTTCCCCCTAGCTATTATAATTATACAGAATGGTAATTCAACTTCCTAGATTCCTCATTCTACATGACACAGTTCATTTTAAAATTGCTGACCTAGTCATCAGGACAGAATTTGACAACAAAACAAAATTGAAATATGTTGGGGAGGGGTTGTGTTTTGTATGGTTTTAGGAGGGTTGCTTGTTGCTTTTTTTAAAAAAATAGAAGGCATTTCAATACCTCCTTACTTCACAATAACTATTGTAAACACAGAGTAGTTTGAGTACTTCTCATAAAACGTGCTGTGACTACGGTAGGGGGCATGGAGGGTGGGCATGTGCCCCTCCATACAATACGGCTTAACTCCCTACAGCATCTTTCACCTCGCGTGCATCCTCTCCTCCACCACTTTAGAGTTAAATGCTACCGGGTAAGTGAAAGCAAAACACGAGCAGGCTATTTAGAGCATCTCCGCATTCGCACAAAGAAATTAAGCCGCTGATTAATGGGGGATGCGAGCTGGGGGCAGCAGGAGCCCTTGCGGAGCGGCGCCCTTACCTGGGACATCTGAGGCCTGAGGTTGATTTCCTTCAGGTTGATGGATTGGCTGCGCAGGTTGTTGAGCAGCTGGCAGAGCAGGACCCCATCGCGGAGGGTCTGCGCCAGGTCGAACACCTGAGCCGTGGGCCAGGTCACTCGGTGGTTGGGCGGCAGCACCTTGCAGTGGATCAGCCACTGGGCGCACTGCTTCCAGGGCTCCATGCCGGGCACCAGGCGGGGAGGATGCTGCGGGCTGCAAGCGCCCGGTCCCCAAACCCAGAGAGGCAGGGAAGCCCTCGGGGCTCCCCGCTGCCGCAGTGCTCCGCTCCGGCTCTTCCGTCCGCCCCTGCCCTTTGCAGAGCGCGAGCGGCAGCAGCTGCCGGGCGGCGGCGCCTGGAGAGGCTGCGTGCGAGCTTCCCCCTCCCCCTCTGCGCAGACTAGAGGATGGGCTCGGGACAGGTGCGCGCGCATTGTCCCTGGGCAAGTGGTGCACGCTCTGCGGAGGGGTCGGTGCTGCGCGGCTGCCTGCCGGGCTGGTGGCCCCGGGGCCTTTCCTTCCTATGCAGGGCCTTCTCCTGTAGCTGGAAGCCCCTGCCATGCAAAAGGCTCCTCCAGCCCCGTTTGAGAGAGGGGAGCTCGTTATGATCAGGTTTATCTGATGTAGCCACTTTCCTGTAACTTCTGAGCAGCTTGAACCAGTGGACTGGGATAGCAGGGACCCAGCAGTCTTCTTCCCTGAGCGTTGGCTGAGGGAGGCAGCACCAGGAATGTAGGATCAGGCCAGGTGGGGCGGTATACCAGTAATGGAGGATTGGTCCTCAAAATTATCATGCACCTTTTAACTCCACGGAAATGGACTGCTCCTGCAGTCCTGATTAAGATCAGCAGTCTCTCTGCAGTGGTGCTGGAACAATTTTAATAGTAGGGGTGCTGAGAGCCACTGAACCAAACTGTAAATCCTGTATATGATGGAAATCACTTCAAGTCAGGGAGTGCGGCAGCAGCACAGCTAGGGTTGCCAAGCATCCAGTTTTCGCCCAGAACGCCCGGTGGAAAAGGGATCCTGGTGGCTTCGGTCAGCACTGCCGACCGTGCTGTTAATAGTCCAGTCAACAGTACAGCGGGGGCCCGGGGCTAAGGCAGGTTCCCTGCCTGCCCTATCTCCATGTGGCTCCTGGAAGTGGACACCAGGTCCCTGCACCCCTTAGACGCATGGGTGGCCAGGGAGGCTCCATGTGCTGCCCCAACCGAGAGGACTGGCTCTGCAGCTTCCATTGGCAGGGAACCACAATCAATGGGAGCTGTGTGGGTGGCGCCTGCAGGCACGAGGGCAGCGCGCGGAGCCTCCCTGGCCACCCATGCATCTAGGGGCTGCAGGGACCTGGCGGCCGCTTCCTGGGAGCCACAGTAAGTGCTGCCAGGACCCCATATCCAAAACACCCTCCTGCACCCCAACCCCTAGCCCGGAGCCCACACTCGTCCTCTCCAGCCCCACCCCAGAGTCCAGAGCCTGCACCTCCTTCTGCACTCCTAACCCCTTGGCCCGAGCCCAGACCCCCCTCCTGTACCCCAAATCCCTCATCCCTGGCCCCAGCCAGAGCCCGTACCCCCAGCCAGAGTCCTCACTCCCCCACATCCCAACCCCCTGCCCCAGCCTGGAGCCCTCTCCCACATCTTGAACCCCTCATTTCTGGCTCCACCCGGAGCCCGCACCCAGAGCCCATACTCCCCACACTCCAATTCCTTGCCCCAGCCCTGTGAAAGTGAGTGAGGGTGGGAGAGAGCGACAAAGGGACGGGAGGATGGAGCAAGCAGGGGCAGGGCCTCGGAGAAGGGGTGGGGCCTAAGAGAAGGGGCGGGGCTGAGGTGTTCGTTGTTGTGTGATTAGAAAGTTGGCAACCCTAAGCACAGCACCCCTAGTTCCAGCACCTATGCTCTCTGGGCTCAGTTCTGCTGTCAGTTATGCCAGTGTCAAGCTAGAGTAACTATTGTTTTCATTTCTGTAATGCGATTGAAACTAGTGTCGTTTGAGAACAGAAGTTAGCCCCAAAAGCTTAAAGGTGACCTACAAAGAAAATGAAGTGAGGTTTGTGCCTTTTGCTTCTATATAATGAATGAAGAATGCTAGAAGTTTGTTTATTGAGGCTTGTTTCCCCTTCCACCACCCTCCCTCCCAACATTAGAAATTCAGGTGTTCTCTATGGTGGAAGTCTCTGTTGCTGATTGGAGAACTAGTAAGATTGAAAGAACACAGAAACAAAGGGAATAATATCTAATTAAACTGAGAAGGGAAGTAATTTTTTTATACAAAATGTTTAAAACTTTTATTTTGGTGGGGGTTTTTTTATAAAGGCACACTGGGGAGGAAAGCTCTCCTTTTCTAATTATTCAAACACTCTCCCCTCTAATTAAGGCCTTTCAAGGTTCTGAATCAATGAGTCCACCATGAAAAACAGGGGACAAAGTCCCAGATCCATAACATATTTAGACTCCTAATGTCCATAGAAATCAATGAGAGTTAGGTACCTTAATGTCGTTGAGGATCTGGGCCAAAGTTGCTAATCCTGGTACTTCCATTTTAAAAATACAAGCAGAAAAAATACTTTAGTATTAAGAGAGACACTAGTGAGAGAAATATTTCAGGCTTTCTTTTATACATCAGAAAGAACCTAAAAGGGATACAAACTCAATTTTTTCCTTTGCATGTCACCACTAAACATTGTAGGCTGAATTCGGCCTTGGGTTACACCTGTTCAACCCCACTGGCTTCATTGGGGTTGCACAGATGTAACCCAGGGCATAATTTGGCCATATGGTTTCTTATATATGAGTCACTCATGATATGCATTGGCCATGTGAAAAATTCTATAGAAAACTTTAATAAATCCCATAGCATATTGTAACTTTCACTACTGAAGCCACATAGGGTGTTTGAATAGGCTTAGTTTTAAATATTGCTCATTTTTAAAAAATTGAGGGTTTTTAAGATTAGAGACTGCACTATAAAAATTCAAAGATGAAACAGAAGTGATATAAATTGATAGTATAGAGTAAGAATAATACATGGCTAAGAAAGTAAGTTACCCTCAACTTTAATATAAATTACCAGTATATTCTGGAAGGCCATCCATAGCTGTCAATCATACACAGCAGCTAAACCAGATTAGATCAATTTAAATGCTGTTGAAAAAAATGAACATCAATGTAATACCTCCCAACCAACATACAGGTAATCTGAATATAAAACATTCAAATTAAACTGTTGCAGTCAACCAAAATATTCTTATTTAACTATAAAACGAACAAGAATTATGACTAAATTCTTATGAGAAACAGTACTAATATCCATCAGCGTTCACAGTACCCTCTAGATCTAGTTCTTAAAAGTCATCATTTCCTCTGGATTTCTGTGAAGGTACCTTTTATTCCTCACAGAAGCGACAAACTAGATGACTCAAACAGTATGTTTCTGTTAATTAAAATGATATGCTTGTTTTGTAACTACAAAACTTTTAAAGAAGCACTAGTATAAAATGAAAAAAAAAAACCCTATCTTTTTCCTTCAATATCTAGGGGATCAGAAATTCTTCCAGCATCTTAATTTGGTTATAAACACCAGCAGGATTATATGAGATAACCCAATGCCACCTACAGTTTTCAAATGTCCTTTCTGGCAAAATCTTGACTCCTGTTGCTTCTTGAAGTCAGAATACGTCACCCAACCTTGTTAATAACTTATAGACCAGTTAAAATATTTTTTTCCGTGACAATAGAGTTTTAAAAAGCTGTAACTTTTAAAAAGCTGTAACAAGAGACTTCTGTATTTTGCTAATCATAAAATTCTTTTCACATTTATACAAATGAGCAGTGCTTTTGTGAGTGGTGTTACTTATGCAAGGAGCTACACTGGCATCATAGGAGTTACACGAATAAGTGCAGGTTTATCAGATGGGGTCTGTAGTTACCTCACCATTTTGCATAACTGACTGGTGCTGTATCTCCTACCAAAAAACAAATGGGAATGCCCCTGAATGACTCAAAGCTCCAAGAGTAAGTAGGGTCAAACTCTACCTTTGCAATCATTGAAGATAGTGAGATTGCACAGGTGTAACTGAGAGCATATTTGAAGAGAGTGGGGTGCTCAGGTGCACTTGAGAGCAGCATTTGACTCTCAGTCATTATTACTGGATTGGAAGCTTATTATTAAGATTGGAAGACGTGTTGTGATCGGCTCAGTCTTAACTGATGAAGGATCGACAGTCTACGCAGATTTATTAACTCTACCACTGTCACAGACTCACAGATTGAGCCCACGCTTGGCCCCCGTGCGGTCCGTGGGGGGTGCCCCTTTCAGTGAGACAGCCCTTCTCGGGGGTCCATGCTCTCTCGGGGTCAGGCCCCTCCACCTCCTGGAGCTGCACCTCTCTGAGCCTTAGCACATCTGTCTCTCGCTGTGGGCCCCCTCAGGGAGTCCACTCGCTTTGGACCTCCGGGGCCTCCACCCCCCCCGAAGAGGTTGATGCAACCCTGTTCTCTAGACCGCAGTGACTCTCAGCCAGCATAACAGGAGGGTTTATTGAGTGACTGAACACAGCACAGGAAACCCTCTGACCCTCAGGCCTGGCCTCCCTCAGCACAGCACATCCCAGTCTCCCCTGCATCCAGGTGGGCTCTGCCTGCTCCCCCTCTCCAGCCCAGAGCCCCCCTGCTTCCCAGCTGGGCATCTGATATCACCGGCCCCAGGCCCCGCCTCTGTCCATTGTCTTCTTTCCAGGTAAACAGGTTCCTCTGGGCATCCTCTCCTCTCCGCCTCCCCCCCCCGGCTGGAACAGGCTGGTTAGGTCATGGGGTCCTCTCTTCGCAGCCAATTGTCCTCCCACTGGCCAGAACTGGCTGCGACTCCTGAGCTGGGTCTCCAGTGAGGGTCGTCAGGTCACCAGTCGCCGGGGTGTCCCTCCTCCAGGCCATTGGCTGGGGTCCCAAGTTCCCTCTCCGGTCCTCTGCAACAACAAACTCCCTCTCCCCTCACCTCATTAAACCAGTAACACCCAGGGGCACTGAGTCCCACTCCCTCTGCATGCAAACCATTGGAAAACCACAAAAAGATAAGAAAATCCCCTACTTCGTCACAACCACTATTAGCAACAGTGCCTTTCCCAAGGCCAGATAAAAGGAGGATTCTGCAGTTGGATTTGCAACCCACTCAGGTAAAACCTTATTGCAACAGAAATAGGTCAGTTAAACCAAAACTTGAGGACAGTAGATACAGATGGAGCTCAAAACCCAAGTATGATAGATCTCAGTGAAATTAAAAAGGAGACAGATTTCGAGACATCAAA